CAAACATGGGCACCCTGTGGAGGACTGCTAGAGTAAAACCAGATGGACGGACAACCACCCACTTTGCTGGTTCCCTTTGCAAAACAATCCCACATGAAATCCAGATAACTCTAGGCATCCAAAAATGCTTGGACAAGCACAAGCACTAGATGCTTCTAAACGAAATACTGTTGCCACTGTGCCATGGTCACTGCAACGAGGCAAGAGGCACGGAGGAACCCTGGTCGTGCAAACCTAGCTGATTTGCAGCGCGCTGCGAAGTCCAAAATCAAAGTCATCTCGGAGGGCAACTGCCTGACAATGGCCACAAAGTCATGAGTCATCACCAGCCGGAAGCGCATTCATTGCTTTTGTTGCTGGTTGCAAGCTGATTGAAACACACGCGCACACACACAGTCGCTCACGCAGGTCTTTTGGCGCGCAAGATTCTGCAGATCACGTTGGCAAGCAAGCCCCAACAAATCAGCTCAAACCATGAAATTATCTTAGAAAGCAACCGGAAGTTGTCGAGAACTTCCTGAAGGTTTCTTGGTACTTCAAGGGGCGATCGGGTGCGTCTGGCAAGTGGTTAGTAACCATGGTTATGACCCACAAAAGCCATGGGTTATAAGTCTCCTAAGTGGGTCAGAACCAGGCTTACTAACCACTTACTGAGTACTCTGCCCCTTGAAGTAAGCAATCAAACTTCAAAAAGTTATCGTTAAGACGCACTTAGGAGGCTTAATTCCATGGTTTTTGTGGGTTATAGCCATGGTTACTACTCACTGGCTGAGTGGATGGCCAAACCAAAGTCCACACTTTATATTTACTACTAAGATGGTCTTCCCAAAAGGTTGAACGTTCATGAACTCAGGAAACGAGACGAACCACTAACCTCTTACCGGACGTACCCGATGGCCCCTTGAAGCAGGCAAGTAAGTTTCACCCGTGAGGCCCTGCCTTGAGCCACTTGCCCAGGCCCTGCGCAAAGCGATCGATCTCCTGGCGATGGTTTTGACCCTCCGGGTATGTTTTTCAAGGCTTCACGCGAAAGTTGGCTTCATGGGAAGTTTCCCCTGATAGCTGAAAGCTGTAGGGTTCTAACTTCTAAAGAGTCTAAGAGGGAAAAGTGAGTTGGGAGATTGATCGGCCTGGTTTTTCGCTATCTGGGGTCTATGCTGGTATATTGTTAGGTTGGCTTGAAGGGACACGGAGAGCAAATCTTGCTGCTGGGTCAGGTTGTTTCATGCTTATGTCTGTGTCTGCGTGTCTGTTTTTGTGTGTCTGCGTGTCTGCGTTTGTGCGTGTGTGTGCGTGCGTGCGTGCGTGCGTGGGTGTGCGTGCGTGTGTGTGTGTGTGTGTGTGTGGGTGCATGCGTGCGTGCGTGCGTGCGTGCGTGCGTGCGTGCGTGCGTGGTGCGTGCGTGCGTGCGTGCGTGCGTGCGTGCGTGTGTGTGTGTGTGTGTGTGTGTGCGTGCGTGTGTGTGTGTGTGTGTGTGTGTGTGTGTGTGTGTGTGTGTGTGTGTGTGTCGTGTGTGTGTGTGTGCGTGCTGCGTGCGCGTGCTGTGTGTGTGTGCGTGTGTGTGCGTGTGCGTGTCTGTGTGTCTGTGTGTCTGCGTGTCTGCGTGTGTGCGTGTCTGCGTGTCTGCGTGTCTGTGTCTGCGTGTCTGCGTGTCTGCGTGTCTGCGTGTCTGCGTGTCTGCGTGTCTGCGTGTCTGCGTGTCTGCGTGTCTGCGTGTCTGCGTGTCTGCGTGTCTGCGTGTCTGCGTGTCTGCGTGTCTGCGTGTCTGCGTGTCTGCGTGTCTGCGTGTCTGCGTGTCTGCGTGTCTGCGTGTCTGCGTGTCTGCGTGTCAGCGTGTCTGCGTGTCTGCGTGTCTGCGTGTCTGCGTGTCTGCGTGTCTGCGTGTCTGCGTGTCTGCGTGCCTGCGTGTCTGCGTAAAGGCGTGCGTGTGCGTGTGCGTGTGCGTGTGCGTGTGCGTGTGCGTGTGGGTGTGGGTGTGTGTGTGTGTGTGGGTGTGGGTGTGGGTGTGGGTGTGGGTGCGGGTGCGTGCGTGCGTGCGTGTGCGTGGGTGCGTGGGTGCGTGGGAGCGTGCGTGCGTGCGCGCGTGCGTGGGTGCGTGCGTGTGCGTGTGCGTGTGCGTGTGCGTGTGCGTGTGCGTGTGCGTGTGCGTGTGCGTGTGCGTGTGCGTGTAGGTGTGTGTGTGTGTTTATGTGTGTGTGTGGGGTCTGCAAGGTGTCTTCGGCTGTTCAGAATAGAGGGGCAGCAATACATATACATAGACATACATACCTACAGACATAGAGACACAAACGCACTCAAATACACAGACCCACAAACACCACACACACATACAGGACAACCCCAGATGCGCAGCTCGCATGGCAAGTTGGATGGATGACGAAAATGCAACCAATGGCGACCACATGTACGTGACTAATTCAGTGCGTGAGTGAGTGAGTGAGTGAGTGAGTGAGTGAGTGAGTGAGTGAGTGAGTGAGTGAGTGAGTGAGTCAGTGAGTGAGTGAGTGGGTGGGTAGGTGGGTGAGTGGGTGGGCAGGTGGTTGAGTGGGTGAGTAGGTGGCTGAGTGGGTGGGTGGTGGGTGAGTGGAGGGAGTGAGGGAGTGAGGGAGTGTGTAAGTTGAATGAGTAAGAGTAAGAGGGGGAAAGGAGGGAACGGAGGAGGATGAGAAAGAGGAGCGAGCGACGTGGGCGACATTAAAAGCAAGAACACCGCACAAGAATGTGGGGAATACTTCCAAAGCCGGAGATATGATCTGGATCCCGAAGCAAAGGACCTAGCGAAAATCCCCCTTTTTACTCCAATTCAGTGGACATCGGCAGAAGATTCAACACCGACGCTGTCAGGAGTTGCCCTTGACACGTTTCCAGGGTTCATGTCAACCACCCTGCAATACTCGGTTGCTTTCTGCTCCCCTGCTAAAACTTTAACATTAGTTGGCAAAAAACTAAAGTCCTAACATCCCTTTGCAAAATGCACCTCTGAACAGGAGCGCCTTGTTTTGAGGGTATTCGTTTTAGGACAGCTATCAAGGGAAACAAGAGGGAAACTGCCAATGTTGAGGGTGCCTCATTTTGAGACGAACCCATCTTAAACATGAGCTAAAAAGCAAGTGATTGCTTTTATTGGCCACACATATTGTAATACCCCATTTAGAAGCCAACCCAACTGAATCATAATGACGCCGCTCCTTTGCAGTTCACAATGTTCCAACTATGCCCTGACATCCGATGTTGAAGATGTTAAAATCCCTCACAGAAACCATGTCATCATGTGGAATACTGCCCTGCAAATTAACACAGAACCCCCCCCCTCACCCTCCCAACAAAATAACAACAAAACACATAAACAAATACCATGACTCGTCTCAACACGACAATTTTTTGGGTTCTATGTTAATCTACACGCGGGGAGTAAGCAATCACGCCCCAGGCCCGGTCCTGGAGAACCCAATCCGCCGTGATGCGCTGCTGTCCACCCATGATCTGGCCAGAGGAGTTACATTGAGTGCGTGTGCCCCCAACATGACTGCTGTTGAGATCATGGAGCTCGTAGATTCCCATTCAGCTATCATCTTAGATTGTGAGAAGTTGGGCTCCGCCTGCTCTCTCTCTCTCTCTCTATCTCTCTCTCTCTCTCTCTCGTTACTCAGCTCTCACTTCTAAAGCAAACATACACGTCGTCGTGCAAAATGGCCAGTTCTTGCCAGGGTTGACGACATAATGCCTTTCCACCTGAACATGTTTCGCAGCCCAAGGTCATCAAAGATCAAGGATGTTGATCCTATTAACAAGTTGGGTGCGTGAGAAAGCTACATGCGCTGCAACCCCCACAGTGAGGATCGCCTGCCGAACTAAATGCTCAGGTCGGAGGACTTTTCGATTTATCCGGAGGACCGTACTTGTACCAATCAGAGGGCATACTCTCACCCCACATGTTCGACTTCCCCATTAAAAAGAAACCGCCATTGATTGAAACATCCGGCCATCCTGACATCCGGTTTGCTGATACGGATTTCCATTCCCAGGATTGGGCCACTCACTTGTTTCATGGTTAAACCGCCCGTGGTCCGTTGGGATTGCGACCCCTGGAGGTGCCTCATTGTCCAAAGAGGGGGGAGGGTTCGCTGTGAACATAGCTGTACTTCCCCCGTTCCAAACAGCTGGATAGCGGTTGCTTCAGGCCCCCCAGATTCGCAATCATCACGCTAGCGAATGAGCGCCTACTCCGTATGTTGAAGGTGCCGTGCTAGCGGGATATGGGTATGGGTCAAAATTAAACCACCAGGAATTTGACCGCAGGTTTTTGTCCTTGGTTCCATTTAGCAAGGTTCCAGTCTGGGGTTACCCTTTTTCTGTCCCACGACCTTCAACCAAACCAACTCGCCTGTGTCTCCCAAGTCCGCGTCTCCAAGTGCTCCAGGAGCAGGCTGAGCTTGCGGTACCTATGGGTCAGAACAGCCCTGCAGAAAAGGGAGCTTGGCGGGGTGTATTTGAATACCTTTGTTTGACCTGAATTTCAAATGGTCTGAAATTCAGCTGGGGGGCCTTGGGCAAGATTTGCATAGTTATGTCCACCAGTCTGGATAGGCTTCCCTTTTCAAATGTAGCTAACCCAACTGAACTTCTGAACTCCTTCTGCTCGGAACTCACATACAGGTCTCCGGGCAGGGAGGCCTCGAAACGAATCTGATAGAAGGGGAACATAGCTGTCTCTTGCTTAAAACAGTACTGCAAGAACCAATCCGCATCCACTCCAAGCTGATTGCAAATGCGTTGCTGCAACAAGTCTTGAACTGGGTAACGCGTGCAGCAAGAACGGTTGCAGGACCTTCATCATGTTTGAGCGCGGCTCGCCTGTGGCTGCACCGGACAAGTTAACGCGTGCAAATTGATGCGGACACACACACACACACACTTACACAGACTTCCCTCAGAACATGGGAAGAACGCTGGAAAGAGCTGCCAAGGGTTAAATGCCAAGCTCCTGCTGCTTGAAAGAGATGCTCAAGCTGCAAGTGTGCACGAATATTGATGGCTCCGAAAAATAACAAGGGAGCAGCGCCCAACTTCCAATCTATTTTATTCTACAAGCATGGTACCCGTGGTTAGCGGTGTGGGGGGTGGCTAACATGAGGATGCGGGACCAACTCCTTCTACATGTCTGCCCAATGTAAATCCCCTTGAAAATGATGTCCACCAACAAATCCCGTTAAGTGCTCATAGCAATGGGTAATCACCGAGTGCCATATGTAGTCGTGGCCTTCGTGATTGGTGATGGCCTTCCTTTGGGTCTGAATCTATAGCCTTCTGCGGCGCCATTGTGCATGTTGTGGACGACTTGAGCGCCCAAATCCCCGACTGGCCATGCCGGTAAGCCAAAGGTCCACCTGGAGTCGCCGTGAAACTTTAAAAAAAGACCCCGGAATTTAGGGTAATGACCCCATGTTGAAAGGGTCATGGAGACTCTAGGCACTTCCATTCTTCAAAAGCACTGGGTTACCTTCAAATCACCCCGCACAGTCCCTGTGAAAGGTCCACCCTGAGCAGTCCCTGTACATCACCCCATCCTGAGAACATCTCATCGGCGCACCCGGCAGAGAGCACTCCGGACAGCTCCAGGCCCGTGATGGCCAGCGGGAGCGCCTGAAAGCCGTTTCGGGGTTGGGTCCTTTAAGCCGCACTTGCGCGGGCTTGCGCGCGCACAGTGTTTCGTTTATGTCGGTTTGCGAAGTTTGCGTGTGGATTGCGCGCAAGCTTTTCTAAGCAGTATGTTTGTTGTTCACACCGCAACCCCCAAAGGCTCTTCCCGGTGAGGTCGCTCCCAGCAATTCTATTCCAGCAACATACTCTTCACCGTGTTCACCCAACAGAAAGCACAGCAAGCTCTGCCGAACAGCTTGGACGCTGCCTATCCATTGCTTGAACCGCGCCGCTAAGGACATCTAAGACAGCAAATCGCCAGATGTCTTGCTGGGGCTTCTCGTGCTTGCGCGTGGCTTGCGCGCAGTTTGTCGTGTCAGTTGCTGATTGTTGAAGTCATGATCGCAGAAGCCTTGGCAACCCTTCACTTTTAAAGCTGCAACCTTGTGCATGCCTTGGGCCGCATTTGCGCGCTCATTGCGCGCACACAGCGTTTGACAACTTTTACTTCTCCCTGTTCGGCGATGATTAAAACCGAAGACTAGAGTTTTAGGACGGTCCTCATATGGGCCCTCATATGTAAACCCTCAGCACACCCGTTCACAATTGTACCTCTACGCGCCCTGGTTGTTCCTAAATTACCGGAGTTCATACTGTGGATGGTCGAAATCATGTACCACCCAAGAAACCCTGGAATGATGTTCCCCTGTAAATGCCAACAAACGATGGTTTGCGCTGGTTTCCAAGTGGTGCGAAATGGATTGCGCAACCATCCACAGTATATTGTTTTTCTTATGAAGATATGTTGTTTGGTTTAAGGACTCTCTGCTTCCACTTCGCGAGGCTGCCTAACAAAAAACATCAAGACTCAGAGACAGGTGTCGGGCTTTTGAGAAGCATGAGGTCGTGCCCTTCTCATTGCGGCGCATCCCCCCTTTGGCATGTGAAACAGAGAACCCCGGTGAATTGTGGCCTACGGCTTGTCCCTTTCTACTCTACTTGCCTTCTTTCGGGCAGCGCCACCACAGCTTGCCTCTGAGTCGTCTTCCTCCTCATCTTCCTCTGGATCGTCTTCCAGGATCTTTGGGACTATCGACATGCGCCAGTGGCGCAAGCAATGCGACTTTGATGTTTCTGGAATGTGGTGTGCGCACGTCAGCGTTTGCGACTGACCGGCTTCAACAGGAAAAGCCAGAAGTTCTGAACCTGGACTGTGGCAGAAACCAAAAGCATGGACAACCGACCTGTTCAAACCAGCCGGATCTGCGAGTGCATCCAAATGAGGTTTCACGCCTGTTTCGAGGCTCCGCGCCTTTGGAAAAGCTGAAGTTGGAAATCCACGTCGGAAAACCTTCCACTTGCTTAAGACCCTGGAAAAAAGAACATATTTCCAGCAGTGATAGATTCCCTTTAAAACCAAAAAGGAAAAATAAAACAAATATTCATGTCAGCAAATGGAAGAAACCCGTACACCATGTCTAGAACCATTCCCCTGTGGCTCTGTGGGCAGCCCCAGCTCTAAGCCAAGCTACGGCGAGACGCGGCGGCTTGTGATGGCATGTTTTTTTTGTTCTTCTCCTTTTTTTGTCCCACGGTAAATGTGGCTAAGCCAAAGCGTAGTCAACTGAACGGAATTGAAAGGTCTGGGCAACTGAAGCTTTATCATCTATGTCCTCCAGTAGAGAGGTTAGAATAAGGGTACCCTTTTTTTCTGTAGTCTATTTTAGTAGGGGAACCCTCCCCCCAAAAAGTCGGTTAAAAAGCAGCTGGGGGACCTAGATCCTGTCGAATGCTGTATCTAGTCAATCGAGTTGGAGGCTCGCCATGTTCCTGAGAACCCTAATGTTGACCTCAATATTCATCAGCTCACTTCGGTGGATCTGCCAAAAAACGTGTGAACTCTTTACGTACCACTACAATGGTCTTCCCAAAAAGTTTAGAGCTCAACAACTCAGGAAGTGGGAGACACCCCGGTTTATTCATAGGGTGTTCCACTCCAAAAGTGGTCTGAATCCCCACTAGAACCAGGAACACCGCCATATTAAAAAAAAACAGGGGTGTATTAATCTGGGGTCAACATTATGTCACATGGAAAAGGAAAAAACAACATCTTGAATGGCAAAGCCACTGAGCCTACGCCTGTAATGTGATGATACATATACTTACCCCATGTCAGCCCTTTCCCAGCTCCAACGACGGAGTGGGCTGTCTGACATCACTCTGCCCTGTGCAGAAGTTGAAGAAGCACAGCTCAAGAATCCGGAAAGAAGCCATTGAAGAGGCTACACTTCTAGGTCCTCCAGTAGAGAGCTTAGAATAAGGGTACCCTTTCTTTCTGTAGTCTATTTTAGTAGGGGAACCCTCCCCCAAAAAAGGGTAAAAGGGCACTACTGGGGGACCTAGACTTCAGTATTCTGAGGGCAGGTTCACATTCCCAACTGGAAGACCTTGGCCGTCCGCATGCATTTTATCTCCCAATACGATCTTTGAATGTAGCAAGGGACTAAATGTATCAAAGCAAACAGGCGGATAGATTATCGGAGCCCACATGGTTCTTAGTTTCTGGTCATTTAATGAGCCTCCAAATCATCAGGTCAAAGACACGCTAAACTGACCTTCATCCTAAAGATATGTCCAACTCCTGCGGCAAGATTGGCGAAGCAAAGAAAGTTTCTGATGGGTATTTCCCCAGAAGCCAAAGAGCGCTGAAGTGAGGTCCGAAACCACACGACGGGATAACGAAGGCCGCCGGAAACACATAAGAACCTTAAGACACGTTATAGTCATGTTATGAAACCCAGAAGACGATCTAAGTGACCGCCAAACACATCACCTTCCTCTTTTTTCTTCTTTTGGCATGCTCTCCGTCCGAGTGAGATACGCCCATGAGCCCAGCCCATGGCGAGTTCGCCGACTTCCTGGTGCTTTGTGATTGAAACAGGCCAGCTTATGACTTCCTCGAGATCGGGCATACACGCACCATTTGGGTAGGATGGGAGTTACCGGTGACAGCTTTTGGTGTGGAGAACACAAAAGAGGGATTTGGGATTTGGGTGTCAATTTTTGAGGGTAACCTTTTGTGGGTTGGCCGAAGGGGAACCAAAGGAAGACACATACCATTTTGGGGTTCCCTTAGTTGCACACCCGCAAGAGTTGCAAGCCAGGCAAGCAAAGTCTTACCACGGTTCGGTTGGCCGGCATGTCTGGCTTGTCGCGTCAGGCGCAAGGAATGCGACATGGATTCCTCCAACCTGACCCCGTCGATCTAGCGGCCTCCAGATCCACTGTGAAACACCTCGCCAGACTCTTGACATGTGCGTGTGCTTGATTCACCCTTTTCACCTTTAGGGAAACTTCGAGAAACAAAACATGATAATAAACAAAAACGGAACAGCGGGGGTCCTAAAAGGTTTTTATCCCGCCATCGGTGAAAAACGCCAGAAAGCTCGATGCATGTCTGACGAGGGCTTTTCCCCGGCTCTCGAGGCTTCAGGGTGAGTCTCATCTGGATCTCTCCGCCTGAAAGATCTGCTTCACGTAGTTCACGTGATCCACGCAGAGCTTAAAGCAGTCCCCCTGCTGACTGCACCGCTCCAAAAAGCCCCGGAAGGGCTCGAACATGACCTTCCCTTCTAAGACGTAGGGCATGATGTCCGACTCCTGGGCAGCTTCCCCAAAAGTGGCCGCGGTCTCCATTTCGCTTTGCCTTTTGAGCACCCAGAAGGGGTCCGAAATCCATGGGTTGGGTTGGGTTAGGTCAAACGTGCCTTTGGCACCGAGAAACACCTGGGCGTCATACATCAGCTTTCCCCTGAATTTCACGGCCCACAAAGCTCTGGATCCAAGAGCCAGGGGCCGGACTCCCAGGTGCCAACCCAGTCCCAAACCCTAAACCCTAAGCCCAAAACCCCAAAACTCCCAAATCTCTGAAACGGCCAAAATCCTAAAACTTCCAAAACCCTACAACTCCCAAAACTCCAAAACTCCCAAAACCCTAAACCTCCCAACCCCTAAACCCTAAGCAAGCCCAAAAACCCCCCAACCCCCGGCCGGTGGTTAAACAAAATGCTGGCGGCCGCGGCACGCACTTGGGGCCGTGGAAGTGCGAGATCACCACCTCTGCGCTCTTCTCCCACCAGGGCTTCCAGTTCAGAGCAAAGGGCAGGAAGGAGCTCAGCGGCTTGCCTCGGCTCCCCCGTTTTCTCTTTTTTTTCCCCCCTCTTTGTTCTCCGCTTTTTTTCCCGGCCGAGTGCAGTGCCCCCCCCCGTTTTGCTCGGCTCCCGTTTTTCTGTTCTTTTTCCGGCCCAGTGCAGTGCAGTGGTCGCGTCTCCTTTTGGAGAAACGCGAGATATACATCGTAGTTCTCCGATGTGTGGAGGGAATGCGGAAAGGTGTCTAAGATGTAGGTTCAATGTGATTGCTTTCGGGATGCCCTTTCGGCACTGACACACATCCCGACCTACCTGTGGGCACGTGCGCTTCCTGTGGGTCAAGAAACTCATCCTGCCTGTGTTGGCGATCCCCCGTCAATGTGCAATTTGCCTCGGCCCATTCTGGAACCTAGCGGAACAAGAAGGTTGTGAATCCAGGTATGACAACTGGGAATATGCTCTGACACTGATATCTGATAGAGACACTGTTGGCTGCGTATGTAATTCCGTTCCTCCAATAGCGCCTCTGATCAAGGGCAATCCTTGTTGTATTGACGCCTTCCTCTTCGTCTTTGCGTGTTACAAACTCAACTTTGGACGGGCTTCTTGGGTCTCTGGAAGCTAAATAGGGGGTCTGGAAAACATCGAACATCGCCCACTCCCTCCTGGTTTCCGTATGGGTTGCTGCTTTTGTTCCCGTCTTCTTTTGCTGTGTTGTTCTTTCATAAATAACTTAAACAAAAGAAACAGATGGGCTCTTTCGGGCCACGGTGGAGACCGATTTGTTGCTCCCGCCTTTGTCCTTGTAGAAGGCGGTGTAGGCGCAGGGGTCCGCCTTGGAGAAGGGCCAAACCTGGGGCCGCTCGAAGAGGAACTTCACGTACTCCCCGTAGCTCTCCCGCAGGGTGCCTTGTTTCTCTCGCGCGCTTCGGCTCGGGTCAGTGGTCGTTGGGTCGGCCATTTGGATACCTGGAGTCTCCATGACCCTGACAAAAATGAGGTCATTACCCGAAATAACGGGGTCATTGACCCATTTTTAAAGGGCCATGGAGACTCCATGTACATTCTTTTGAGCCACTGCCAAATAGACACGCCTTGTGGCAGAAGAACCTGCACCGAAGCTTGCTGGTGCTCTGCAGGGAATTAGGGAATGAACTTCAAACCTGACGCCCAAACAAAGGAAGCCACCATATAATATGGGGCATGAGCCATTCCCCCATTCCCTGCATCTCTCGCAAGGAACGAGGAAGCTCGAGTTTCGCGGTCTCCAACAACTTACAGGGGCGATCGGGTACTTTGTCAGTGGTTAGTAACCATGGGTATAACCCACAAAAGCCATGGTTGTGAGTGAGTCTCCTAAGTGGGTTATAGGGTACTCACCACTTGCCTGACGTACCGAATCGATCGCCCCTTTTACCCCAGCCCCGAAGCCCTCGAATCTCCCAGGCGCGGAGGTTCATGAGCATCACACCCGTATCCTCGGAAGTCCAGCGTAGACACGGGCGCGCTCGCTCGGCGCGCGTGCTGTGAAGGGCCCACCCCCCCGGCCCCCGGCCCGGCCCGTCCTTTTTTCACCCGGATCGCTAGTTGCTGTTTTGTTTTTTTTCCCCATGCAGTTTACCTGGAGTCTCCATGACCCTTAAAAAATGGGGTCATTACCCAAAATAATGGGGTCATTGACCCATTCTTAAAGGGTCATGGAGACGCTAGGTACCCCTAAAACCAGCAACAGTGACTAAAAAAAGCGATCGCTTGGCCATCTGGGCAGGTTTCCGGGCCCCGAAAGAAATCGGCACTCCTCGTTCGGGGCTTCACCATGGCTTCAAGAAGCAATCCAACGCAGGGCGTGCAGGGCCTGTGACAGAGCACAGAGAGAAAGTTGTCTGGAGCTTAGATCCGAAGTTCTAGAGCAAATAAATCGTTGCAACTGACGGTGTTAGGCCAACCAATTGAAGAAGCAAACCTCACCCGGCGCTGGAGTGACACCTCCCGTTTCAACCAACTGCTATGTGTGCTGGTTACTCTCACTCTTCTGGTTTGTCACATACGTGGGACTCCCCAAAAACTAATTTCAGCTTTCCTTTTTGAATTTATCCCCAAAAAAGGGCCCCGCACAATTCGGGACAAAACACAAAACTGTACACCCCCCCAATTGCAACCTTTTAAAACTTGGAATCAGAGGCAGACAAGCCAACGCACATCTGGGTGTATCCTTTTTCTACGCGACCCCCCTTTAGGTTGGGTGTTTTGTTGGGAAGCCAAAACGAACACAGTCGCGCCGACTTTGTCTGTCTTATGTGGACGGGGGACCCTTTGAAAAAAGACGCCCCCGGCTTCGTTTCTCTTTGTTTCTTGACGGGGGGGTTCGATTCTTATAAAGAGAAAAGGCAGCGCAGGCGAGGGGCGACCTTGTCTGGGTTGAAGCTCTTCTCGAGCTCCGACGAGGCCGCGAAGTACTGGGGCACCCCCGTGGACCCCGGGCGCGCGTAGACAAGCTGCCCAGAAGGCACCTGCATTTTTGATGCCTATGCAACATGGCGCATAGCCCCAAGAAGTGGTGGTTACTACCTAGAGTCTCCTTTTGACCCACCTGCCATACGGTGGATGGTTGCGAAATCCATGCAACGCACCACCCTTCAGAAACTCTAGAAATTATTGATGTTCGATTCCCCCGTAAATACCAACAAACGCTATGGTTTCCACCATGGTTTCAAAGTGGTGCAAAATGGATTTCGTCCATCCACAGTACGATGCCCATGTTGCAAGGATTACGCGAAGAAGGAGAGCAAGCATCTGGAAAGGACTGAATAAAGCCGAAACACGACGAACAGGAACTCCACATGAGCAGCCCCAAAATCCATTGACTTTGGAGTCTACATGGATGTGGAGGTTCATATAACCTTGCCATAAAACTCCTTCGAGGAAATCAAGCAGGTCACACCCCCTCTAAATTCGTCAGGTCGCGCTTGCCCCTTTTTTTTTGATTTCCTAGGCTTTCATTTGCTTAGCCCACTGGAACATATGATAACTTGTTTCCAGCAATTGTTCATTTGTATCCAAATTGGCTCACACTCCCTTGAAGGATGCTGGACATGGAAGGACCTAGACATCAGGGTGTTCTTCCAGTGGTGATAGATGGATTCTCTTTAAGACCAACAAGGGGAAACACATGTATATATATATATACCAGGAGTCTCCATGACCCTTTAACAATGTGTTCATGACCCCAGTATTTAGGGTACTGACCAACCATGTTTAAAGGGTCATGGAGACTCCTGGTATGTATCTATATATGTATATATCATGCGTTTCAGCTAGATGGCAGTAGGCTCCAAACCTCCAACTGTTCGTTCACCGAACCCCGAAGGCCTCAGAGCCCAGCAGCGTTTCCCAGGTGAGCTTCTTGTGGAACATCACATCCACGTCGGTGTAGAGCCTCACGCGACTTCTCCGGGCGGCTGAATCTGTGTTCCACTCGCCGGAGAAAACCGGTTCGATGTACCTGGAGTCTCCATGACCCTTTAAAAATAGGTCCATGACCGCATCATTTAGGGTAATGACCAACCATTTTTAAAGGCTCAGGGAGACTCTAGGTAGTTTCTTCGCTTGGGGGGGTGAATCTGTGAATGGCTAGCCTATGGGATCAAACCACCAAAACAAGGGGGGGGCTCATATGGCTGTGGGTCAAACAAGTGGAACCATTTTTGGCTGCTTCTATGGAAATAAAGACCAAAACCTGCGTAACCCCAGCTCCATAATTTTGAGCCACACGGGTCAAAAATAGGAACCTAAAATGGGTTGCCCAGGTAAATGGCTTTATGTTGACCCATACCCATATGACCATTGTTTACCTAAGGATTCTGGGGTTGTTCTATTGATTTGCCTTTGCTTTGCGTGTGTGTTTCGTTCTTCTTGCGCTGTTTCTACTTACTTCCTTGCTTCCTGCCTTACTTGCGAACTTCCTGCCTTCCTTCCTGGATTATTATCTTCACATCTTTATTTGTAACTTCCTGTTTTGCATTATTTCTTGTTTCTGTTCTTTAGGTGTGTCAATCGTTCACTTCTATTTTCCTTTTTTAAACCTGCACAAGCACGGCAACCTGGACAGGTACTGGAACAGGTACTGGAACGTCCTGGCGACCTGCAAGCACTCATTGAGACTAACACATCCCATCACAACCTAGTTTTCAGGGCTCTTGTGTATACACAAACACACCACTACCAACGTCTACACGCCAGCTGGCTCCATGCAATTCACCGTACTTCGAACGACATTTTGGGGGATCCATCGGGACCGGGAAAGCTAGTCTACTTGGCAGTCAAAAAGTGGAACCCCGAAAAAATTAAGCACGGGACTGCACATGTTGCTGTCGTTTGTTCAATAAACTCGGGTTGGAGACGCAATTCCACACTTCCTGAGTGGCCGGGCCACTCTTTACCCCTAACAGGAAATTTCCAGGTCCAGGAACCCAACTGAGATTCTTGAATCGCCACATTGAAAAGGAAGCTTCCAAATCAACCGCCGAAGGATCTGCCGAGAAGCACGAAGTGGTCCAGGATGCCACTCACCGGGGTCTCGATCCTCAGGAGGGTACTGAACACCTCGTCGAAGTCGGTGAAGAGATACTTCCACTTCCTGCAGCATGGCAAGTAGGTTTGCCCAACTTATGCGTCTGGGCTGTCCTCAGATCCTCCGCTAAAAGTTGTACTTTTAGTGGGTTAGATGGAAATCCCCACTAAACACTAAGGGGTGGCTTAGGGTTTAGGGTTTAGGGTTTAGGGGGTGTGCCGGTTTTTGTGAGGGCTCCCGAATTGTTTTGGTTGGGTTTCAAAGGAAAACCACACGTTGAACACCATTGCCCGATTCATTTCGGGGGGTCCCGGTCCCGGTCCGATTCCCGAAACAAAATTTGTCGAGACAACTGTGGACGGGCGAAATCCTGCACCACCAAAGAAACCATTCAAAGTGGTGCGAAATGGATTTCGCAACCATCCACAGTATTTCACCAAATGTGGGCGATAGACTTCGGCTGAGCGTCCGGTCAGATTTGGTCTTCCACTGCCGCAAGAAGGGTATCGCCGTTGACTGCCAGGAGGGCTGGATGCTGAGCACTCGCACTCCCAGCGACACCAGGGACTGGGCCAAGGAAGTCTCGGGCCCCGAGTTGGTGATGCAAACCGGCACCACCGTGCCCTTGGTGTTGACCAGGGCACTTCCTCGATTTGCCGAAACGTGAGACTTGCTGTTCTGGCGCAGATAAAAACTGAAAAATCAGATTGAGGTCCCTTTTCGGGGACACCCAAACTGGGTTTAGCCTATCAAGTCAAACATGGAACGGCCAGAAGTATCTACCTAGAGTCTCCATGACCCTTTAAACATGGGGTCATTACCCTAAATAATGGGGTCATGGACCGATTTTTGAAGGGTCATGGAGACTCTAGGTAGGGCTCTGGATAAGCAGCTTGAGATGCCAAACAAATATCATGAGTCTCGCCTTTGCACCGAAGATCCGCTTGAGCTCCTTTCCAGGACATGGAGTTGATGACAAATGCCCGGCAAGGCGCGGTCGCAACTAATTCGCAATCTCTAACTTGAACTTACCGATTAGACAGCCCAAATCATTGGCGGGCTTGTCCCCATCTTACACCCGCTTAAAGGGGCGTGCCCTGGCTACCTTTGTAAATTAATAATGGACAAGTTTATCTCAAGCAGTGAGTGAATAATCCTCTGGGTCTTCCTGCGCCCTGAGCAAGCACGCAAGAAAACTAACAAAGGAAGCAGGCAAAGAAGAAGAGGAAAGGAAAAAAGGGGAAAGGAAAGAAGGAAAAGGAAGAAAGGTCGGTGACGGAAGGGACAAACAGTCCAAGACATAATTTGATAAATGAAGAAGACAAAATGGCAAATACAGCAGGAATTCACGGCCGAAGCGAACACATAAATACACAAACAAGCAAGCAGGCACCCCCAGCAAGCAAGCAAACAGGCAGGCAGGCAAGCCAGCAAGCAAGCAAACAGGCAGGCAAGCAAGTCAAGCAAGGCAGGCAAGACAAGCAAGGCAAACAAGGCAAGCATGGATTGCAAGGAGAGCCAGGAAAGCAAGGAGATCAAGGAAAGCAAGCAGCAAGGCAATCAGAGAAGGCAAGCCAAAACAAAGACTGGCAAGCAAGCAAGCAAAGGACGGCAATCAGCCCGAGAACGGCAAGCAAGCAAGCAAAGGCCGGCCGTAAGAAAGAACGGCAAGCCAGCCAAGAATGGCAAGCAATCAAAGGTCGGCAAGCAAGCAAAGGCAAGCAAGCAAGCAAAGGCAAGCAAGCAAGCAAGCAAGCAAGCAAGCAAGCAAGCAAGCAAGCAAGCCAAGAACGCCAAGCACGCCAGCAAAGGCCGGCAAGCAAGCATAGAATGGCAAGCAGGCAAAGGCCAGCAAGAAAGCAAGAGCGGCAAGCAAACAAAGGTCGGCAAGCAAGCAAAGGCCGGCAAGCGAACAAAGGTCGGCAAGCAACCAAAGGCCGGCAAGCAAAGAATGGCGAGCAAGCAAAGGCGAGCAAGCACGCAAAGGTCGGCAAACACACCAACAAAAAACACGCAAACATTCAAAGGCAGGCAGGCAAGCAGGCAAGGGAGCAAGCAAGCAGGCAATCAGACAAGCAGATCAAAAAGCAAGAAAGACAACACGCAACAAATTAACCCCCCCAAAGCATGATTAGAGTTAGGCCCAGTTGTAGAATGTATATTTTATTGCTTGCTTCACTCTGAGTCACTGGTAAAATGTAAAATGTAAACTAAGTCTACCCCCCAAAGTAATTCGACTCTTGGACCTAGCTGCTCAGCGCACCCAGGGTGTTGTTCATGGCGCCCGCGGATCGGTCCCGCGTTCGGGTGGCGAACCTGGTGCGTGACATGGTGACGTGGTGGCTCCGCTGCTTCGGAATGGATTGAACTTTGGGATCCTTGAGCTGTGAATCTTCCTAAAACGCCTGCCTGGAGTCTCCATGACCCGAATCAAAAATAGGTCCATGACCCCATTGTTTAGGGTAATGACCCCATTTTTAAAGGGTCATGGAGACTCTAGGTGTGGCAGTTAGCAACATATGTAAGTCAAAACATGTGGGCGGTTTACTCCCTGAAGATACGTAGAACCTGAAAAGGGAGCAAATACCGCAACAACAGATCGTATACAAATCGGTGGGGCTGGAAAAAGGACTTCTCACTCGATAAGCGCTGGACAAAAGCCTCTTAACCTGCCGCAGCACATATGGGTATGTCGAAACCCCAAAAAGACTTGGATAAACCACCCGATCAGGGTCCCCCAAAAACAGCCCCATATTGGGCAGCAACAAGTATGACATGCACCAGCTCGCCCTCGTGAATGGATGCCGTTTTGATCGGGGTCTTTTTTTCAGGACACCCTGATATGAATTCAGAAACACAACGAGCGAACATCTGAACGGCTCGGCTGCTCAGCCGCAATCTCGGCTCTAGGGCTCCGTGGGGTGGCTACACCGCGCCCTCTGAAGGTGGATACATCAATGATTCGGATGCCCAGTCACGGGCCACAACAGCCCGTTTTCAGAGTTTGCAACTTGCATGAGATTTGAGACGACACTAAAGACAAAGTTTGGTGACCATTATTCAGCCAGCATTGATCTAAGAATCCATCTAGCAGAATTGTACGGCTTCGCCGACAGTCCATGACTGCGCCATTCCATCTTGTGGCGTCTTTGTGATTGGGTACATGAACTTCAACAAGGAACCACCTCAAAAGCCGGAGGACATGCATCTATAATTCATATTCTCTAATTAACAACAAAAAAAACAAACTACCTAGAGTCTCCATGACCCTTTCAAAATAGGTCCATGACGTCATTATTTAGGGTAATGACCCCATTTTTAAACGGGTCATGGAGGCTCTAGGTTTGAATCCAGCAGCTTTGGCCGGTCAACTGTTGAAAGGCCCTTTAAAACGAAACATGTCTCAACCTAGTCTCTCCATGACCCTTTCAAAATGGGGTCATTACCCTAAATAGTGGGGTGGTGGACCTATGTTTAAAGGGTCACGGTCATGGAGACTCCAGGATTGAACAGCCGGCTAAGGTTTAACTTTGTCCAAAGCTGAATCCGGCAGCTTTTAGCCATCAGCTCGTGAATCTAAAAAAGTTGGAGACAGTGGAAAGGCCTTTTAAAGCGAAATATGTCTCAAGGTCATGTGCCTAACGCATCGGCCTTTTGTTCAAGGAGTTGGCTTTCACTCGCCAGAAACGTGACTGATTCGCATTGAATAGAATGGAAGTTTCCTGCTCTCCCTGTCTTCGAAACGGACTCGAAGAGTCATCTCTCCACCCGCAGTAGAGGTGTGGCATATATATATATATATACATATGGCTGGCTCAAACAACGGTACCAAACTGGAACCCTGGTAAGTGGAAACATGGACCAAAACCTGCGTAACCCCTCCTGTATACTTTTGAGCCACACCCATATATATATACATATATATATATATAAATCATACACATCATGCGCACGCCATGGTTAACCTGGCTGGATCAGGTTGAGTCATCATGTTTGCCGTGCACCTAAGGGGCCACGCATGAAGAGCCAAGGGACACCCACTTGATCGGCGTTCTGAACATGGGCAAGGCAGTGGACTGTTGGGGAACCAAGACCTTCAAGTTCTCGAGAAAGCTGGCGCCCGGATCCTCATGCAATGCACGGAGGTTTGTGTGCGTGTACAGTGTGTGTGTGTGTGTGTGTGTGTGTGCAAGGGCACCAAGAAAACGGGGCTTGGCATTGAAAGGAAACAAACACGAAACCAACCTTGCTTAAAATCGGTTGGACTCCACTTGAGTCACAATCAAAACCCAGTATTAAAATGGTTGACCCAGAACACTGTAAAGAATTAAGAAGGCGGCCGCAGCTATTTATGGTTGGGATTGTCCCTTACTTACCTTCATCTACCCAGGTTTTGATTGTGGCTCACTTTGGTTGCTGCTTGAAGACAAACCACAAGGAAAATGCTGGCACGGGTGCCTTTGATCAGAAACCAACCCCATTGCCAAGGGGAAGGGTCACGTTACAGGTTTCCTTGCAGTCTCCACGCATTCAAGCAGGAGATGTATCTTGTCAACTTCTATGCTTGCCTCAGAGAAAATGCAAAAAAAAAAACGTGGTTCCAGAAAATTGTCCGAGATCCAACGGGGCTATGAGCTGTTTGCCCCAAATTGATACGTCCAACAGATCACTGAGTCACCGAGTCAACTGGCAAGGAGTTGTTTCCAGAAACTGTACCTCCGGTTGAACGGAGCTGGTTCCGCCCATCGCTTTTTGGGATCTCCACCGAGAGTCTCCTTCTGACCCTTAAAAAATGGTTGGTCGTTACCCTAAATAATGGTTGGTTATGGACCTATTTTTGAAAGGGTCACGGAGACTCCAGGAAGGATGGTTGAAAAACATTGTGATAAGAGCCAGACCAGCCAGTGTTTTAAACTAAGGGAGACTTGTAGGGATTGGTAAGAGCTGTTCGTTTCGGCACGTTCCCCAATAAGCAATGAACAAGATGTCAACTGAGGCTTGACGTCGGTAGTCCCCCCAACCATGGAGACACAATAATATCAATTTGGTTGTTTGACATGATGAAACATTATCTCACTTTAAAGTTGATACTTGTAACATGCTAGATTCAGTTTATGTCTTGTTTCTTTAATAAGAAAATACATTCTAGCTTATTGAGTTTTTTGTGGAGTTCCCGTTCTCCCAAAATACACACGGACGTTGTCCAATTGTGCGGACAAAAACAGAAGAACACACACGCGGCTCAACATGACAAGAACTGGATCCCACGCACTGGATCGATCCAGATGGGGGCTCATGGAGGAAACAACAGCAACTGTAGGGGTTCATTCTCCATTCTTCTCAACCATCGTTCTTCTCAAAAACCGCCTGCTTCCCCTGGGTTTTTGATGGTTTCCTGCAAAGAAGGATCCCTGGAAAGAATGGACATGGAAGGTACCCCTAGAATCACACGAACACGAGGACAAGAATCAATGTGAGCAACCAGGAGTTCTCCTGCCCTGAGGGTCATGACCAATTCACACCCCGGATTCCTGAAAAAACAACCCATTTCCTGGGCTGTCCTCAGATCCCCCGCTAAAAGCTTAACTTTTGGTGGGTTAAATGCAGATCCCCACTACACACTAAAAGGCTAGAAAGCTAAGGAACCGGATGGCTGGGAGCCACCAAGTTTTGAGGGCCCAAAAACCGTCGCGACGTGGCTCAGGACAGCCGATTTGCCTGAAAACACACCGATCTGGCCCCTTGGAGTGGATCTGGGGACATTTTGTGGATTGTTCACCAACCACTTTGCAGGTGGCTCCTTATGAAAAAACAAATCATGGCCATCTGACAGGGCAACCAACTTCTGACCGGAAAGGCACACGTTGGATACAGCACCCACTTGAAGTGACGCGAGCCCTGAGCCAAACGCAAGAACACAAGCTGCTCCTCAGTGGAGACAACATCAAAACCTTCTTTGTGCCTTGCAAAACAAACAGGGCTTCCCATATTTCCCCCTGATCACCCTTGGGGAAACTGACCAATTCTCGGCTGCTCCCCTTTGATCCCCTGCTAAGAGTCTAAACTTGTGTGGTTTCGCGGAAGCTACCACTCAACCAACTAAAAACTGAGAAGAAACCTAAGTTGGACCGGATGGCTGATAGACCCACCAAGACTTGGTCTCCAAATGGAAGCCGGAGTTTTTCCCCCCGGATCGCATCGAATCGGACTGGCCTCGTTATTTTACCATGATCAAAGTCACCCCCTAGTGGGTTAAAGGAAAACAGCCGATTCCATTTTCTGACTTTGATAACCCCTACTGTGGATGAACGAAATCCTGCACCACCCAAGAAACCCTGGTTTCGGATGATTCCCCTGTAAATACCAACAAAAGTTATGGTTTCAACCATGGTTTCATTTCGTGGTGCGTTGCATGGAATTCGCAGCCACCCACAGTAGGAACGGTCAAAACAGCTGGCATCCGACCCCCCTCGAATCGGACTGAAGCGGATAGCTAGAGTCTCCATGACCCTCATGGACCTATTTTTAAGGGGTCATGGAGACTCCAGGTAGGTGTGTTGTTCAACGGCAGCCCTTTGCACCCTAGGGAAACCAAACAGAAACGCAGTTTGGGATCCTCCGTGTACCGCGTCCAGGTCAAATGAAACTCTAGGCTCGGATCGCCGAGCATCGTACTGGATCCGATCCGTCTTACTCCGCTGCCGGTCCAGAAAGATCAAGGAGGACCAGAGGGAGCTGCTGTGGCCAACAAACCTCACTTGAGCAGCTCAAAACCCGGTAAAATGGTTGACCCACCATGCTTCAGGAAATACAAAGGCGGAGATCCGCAACTATTTATGGCTGGGATTGTCCCTTACTAACCTTTCATTGTGGCTCACTTTCTGAACCGGAACCAACAAACACGAGGACACACACACAAGGGGAAACCACAAGATTCGGTTCCTTGGGATGATGCCTACATTAAAAAAGAAAGAACAAGTTGCAGAAACCCATCGGCTGGTTTCAAGGGAAAAGGGGAAACCAACTACCACACGGAACTCTAAGCCAGGGAAATCTAGGGACTGGACCATAGGTGGCCTTTTTGGAAAAATAGATGGCCCTGGTCAATGGAATAAACCCCATCTAAACCAGGGCCCTCTATTTTTTAAGCAAACCAACCAAAAAGGACACCTATGGACTGGATGAGCTGCTCACTTTTTCTACCAACCAACCACAAGGAAACTCAGAAGCCAGGAGCAATCTAGGAGCCGTGGACAAGCTGCTCACTTGCCCTCAATCTCCCTTGTTATCTGACGAGGGGTCAAAATGGGCCCAAAATATCCTCGGAAAGCACCTGACCCTCTGGGTTGCAGACGTCGGCAGAAGAATACGGTATGGGAATTGGCCGCAAGTCCACAACACATGCCCAGGATGCAGGAATTCCCACAATCTGAGGCGGGAGACAGCAATAAAAGGACCCAAAAAGCAGTACCTCCATGACACTTTGAGAATGGGGTCATTACCCTAAATAATGGGGTCATGGACCTATTTTAAAAGGGTCATGGATACTCCAGGTAGGTGTGTGTTTTTCAACGGCAGCCCTTTGCACCCTGGTTAGGGAAACCAACAGAAACGCAGTTTGGGATCCTCCATGTACCGGGTCCAAGTCAAATGAGAGGTGACTGCATGCTTGCCCCCGCCTCCCTATAGGCCCCGTTCTGTCCATTTGATTCCTTCCAGGGGAACTTCCAGGAAATTCTGACCAGGAAATCCTTGCCTTTGGTGGGTGTGGCCACTTTGTCTTTGTGTTTGGCCACTTTCTTAGTAAGAACCTTGGTTGCTATCCACCGCATCCGATGGAAAGTGATTGCCTGGGGTGGGCCACTTATTGGTTCAAACCTATTTGAACCACTGCTTATGATGATGATTCCCTTGTACAGGTGGTGTTTAAACCATATGTTGCCCCACCCAACTGATTGCTTCTCATGGGACAAAGTGGAGTCCTGGCTCAAGGCGTAATCCACCGCGGCCCAGGTGAGATTGTCTTCCCGGATCTTCTCCTCTGGGAAGAGCATCTCTTTAGTGACCACCTGAGTCGATGTACCTCTATGTGAATGACGCTCAAACGGCTTAGCCCTCTCACTCTCTCACTCTCCCCCAAAAGCTCCCACACATGCAGGGTCTCGGATCGTTATGCTGCATGCTGCACATCGTGGGTCCAAAGCCAACCCGGCTCATTTTGGGGGATACTAGAGAGGTGAGTTGGGCCAAAAATCCTCACAAGGTTATTGGACATCCAGGTAATTTGACCGCTTACCACCAACCCCTATGAAAAAAGTGTTTCATCAAGTAACAATTGTGTGCAAATTCAATTTCCTTCGAATTTCTCTTAAGTGGTTGGTTCCGGGTGTAACACGCGTTGCAACTTCTCTCTCTCACCCTCAATTGCCGGGGGTGCCTACCCCTGCCCCCCCAAAAAACATCAGCCTGTCCCATTCGGGTTGGGACCCCCAAATCGAATGGCACAAAGTAAGCGCCGCTGTTGCGCTGTGAAGACCTCTTCGAGTATCTTCGTGGGCGGCAGGTGTCGGCTTTTCACCTGCGCCCAGCTCGCGTTCGCGGCGACGTAGATCGGGATCATGGGGGATACGCCCTCCGAGAGCAAGACGTTCCCTGGGCTGAGTGGCTATGGAAGCCTCCACGTATCTGCTAAATGTGGAGGTGCCAACATGGGCCCACGTCCGAAGGTATTTGGGGACTAGGGAACCCTCAAATGGAAGCTCACAGGCCCAGAGGGTCCCTTGGTACCTCATGAGCATGGCTGAAACGGGGGACAAAAACGGGTCGTTCAGTACCTCCCTACCTAGAGTCTCCATGACCCTTAAAAAAATGTTGGTCATTACCCCAAATAATTGTTGGTCATGGACCTATTTTTGATTCGGGTCAGAAGGAGACTCCAGGTAGAAGGTAGCAAGGGATGTTCTGATTTTCTGCTTAGAGGGACACTGCATACGTGGGCTCATGCCAGGGCGCCCAGATCGGCGCAAGCTTGCTCCTGCCTGCACACATTTTCCCGCAGGCGCAGGACCGTGTAGGTCGCGTCCTGGGAGTTGTGTCGGATGGTTTTCACCCCCGAACCACTGAGATTCATGGGATTTACGGAACTACATGATATACAAAGGATATGGATACTGCTTCTAGGTGCCCCAGTTTTGAGAGGTTAGAATAAGTGTACCCATATTTATTCAGTTTTGTCTATTTTAGTAGGGAAACCCTCCCAACCAAAACCGAAAGTTGGCAAAACTTGGCACCAATTGCTGGGGGACCTAGGCTGCGGCCCTGTGGCCCTGCATGGTTTGTCGCATCTTTCGCTGGCCAGGCCTGGGCCTCGGGGTACCTCAGGGACTTCGCCTGATCCCTCGCCGTCTGGGCGAAGTCGTTGATGAGGTTCCTGGCGCTCGCTCGCTCGGGGCGAAACCTGAGTCGCTTGCTCAAAACCAGTTCGTACCTGGAGTCTCCTTCTGACCCTTTAAAAATGGTTGGTCATTACCCTAAATAACGAAATAATGGGGTCATGAATTGTGGATCCCCAGAACCACAGAACCATGTAAAGGATTAAGAAGGCTGCAGCTACTTAAAGACTCATGCTTGGGATCGTCCCTTACTAACTTCATCTATCCGGGTTTGGATGGCTCAACTGAAAGAGCTCAGAGGAAATCCAGCCAGAGGCCGGCCGTTTGAGGTGTTTCGGCATTTCACCGGCACTGGCAAACAGCCGAAAAAACATGTTGCTTCTCAAGCGCCTGTGGTTAAGCGAGTTTAAGCAGTGGTTGACAAATAGAACCATGTGTTTTTTCATGCTTGGAGCTGCCCCATGTTCAACACACATGCATGGCTGCATCTCTCAGGTATGCACAGAGGTTTCAAAAAGAAGCACGCCCCGTAAGTTGCAGAACCGCATGTTTTGCAACTTTCCAATATAAGCAATAGCTTTGCTCTTGTTTGAGGGTACCTTTTCTGAGGTAGGAACACCAAAGATCCCTCCGGGCTTGGATCTTCTGTCCTCTGAGCATCCTGGGCAAGATCAGAGACGGCGTCGCTGAACCGCAAGCCATCATGGATAGTCCAGAAACTCCTGCGCTTCGAGACGTGTCGATGTTTCCAGACATGGGGCTATCCTAAAATGGGGGGACGCTCTCTCTTCTGGCTTGCTTATTTTCTAGCGTTCCCTCAAGGTCGCCCTATGGTTGGAATCCGAATCGTATCATCTTGCGCTTCAAGGGATCACACAATCTCTCAGCCAATGCAAGTGCAAAGGACAACTACTGTCTCCAGGACATGATTGTCAAGCAAATGTGGGCTATGGTAAAAACTCTTCCGACTTCTGGTCTCATCATTCTCATCATCAGAGTCCTCTCGATGCTCTCTTGATGCTTGTGCCGAATTTAGAACGAAGGGTCATTGAACATCTGGACTCACCAGATATCTGGTGATGTGTTTATCTCTGTAACACAGGGTTAAAGTCTGATTCAGCTTGTACTTTAACAACTCTGAATTGCCACGCGCAAAGTTGGCCGGACGTGACCATTCTCAGGATCCCCATACAGTACCTGCTCTACCAGCTGCTTGAAGCTTCGCTCCAAGTATCAGCTGCCTCGAACAAAGTATCACAGGCTGATTGCATCCATGTTTTCTCTCCATGGCCATTTTGCACCCTCTGGAGGTTGGGGGCTGATGTCCCATAATTCAGTCATATTCAGCCAGAAGAAGAAACAATTCACCCATGAACTAGGGCTTCATACCAGGGCTTCAAACATGAGGTATACTAGGTCCTCCAGTAGAGAGGTTAGAATAAGGGTACCCTTTTTTCTGTAGTCTGTTTTAGTAGGGGAATCCTCCCCAAAAAAAAGAAACGGCAAAAGGGCACCTAGCTGGGGGACCTAGTATACATTCCGCCTTTGAACCTGGCGGCCACGAGGCTATGCTCTGCACCCATCGAGCCTCCATGCCACGTCCTCCTCAACCGACTTCACCTGACAAGACCCGATCCAAAGCCTTTGATGGACTCCCTTGGGTGAATCAAAACATCACAAGATGCAGAGGCTTCACCACATCTGAGCTGTCCTCAGATCCCCCGCTGAAAGTTTAACTTTTAGTGGGCTACATGGACAACCCCACTAAACACTAAGAAGCTAAAAAGCTAAGGGGATGGCATGAGAACTTTGCTGGGTTTGTCCTTGCTGGGTGTGTCAGTTGTTTTGTGTACCCGTTTGGTCTTCCTTTGAAGGGATTCGTCCCCCTCTTGAGGCTTCGCCAAGTTGAGCCTAACCTCGTTTTGGGAACTTGCCAGAAACTCTTGGTCCCCTGGAAAAAAAATTAACATATTTCCAGTAGTGATAAATTCCCTTTAAAACCAACAGGGGAACAAAAACACTATTCTTAACCAAATGGAAGCAGCATAGAGCCCGCTTTCCAACTGCACTTCTCACGGGCAGCTTGATACTGTCACACTTGCGGCTGTCGCGGTGGGTTCCGTCCATCAGGACTTCAACATGGCGCACTCCTGTCATCGCCTGCGCGCTTGAGCTGCCTCGAGAGAACTTTCCAGACTGCGTGCTTGTAAAAAGGCCTTGAAGCGATACAGCAACAGTTGACATACCAACACGGAACATGCACGCGCACGTGCACACACACATGTATGTATGTATGTATGTCTGTCTGTCTGTCTGTCTGTCTGTCTGTCTGTCTGTCTGTCTGTCTGTATGTATGTAGGTAGGTAGGTAGGTATGTATGGTGTATGTGTGTGTGTATGTGTATGTGTGTATGTGTGTATGTGTGTATGTGTGTGTAGGTGCGTATGTGTGTATGTGTGTATGTGTGTATGTTTGTATGTGTGTATGTGTGTATGTGTGTATGTGTGTATGTGTGCATGTGTGTATGTGTGTATGTGTGTATGTGTGTATGTATGTATGTATGTATGTATGTATGTATGTATGTATGTATGTATGTATGTATGTATGTATGTATATGTAGGTATGTAGGTATATGTAGGTATGTAGGTATGTAGGTATGTAGGTATGTAGGTATGTAGGTAGGTATGTAGGTATGTAGGTATGTAGGTATGTAGGTATGTATGTATGTATGTATGTATGTATGTATGTATGTATGTATGTATGTATATGTATGTATGTATGTATATGTATGTATGTATGTATGTATGTATGGATGGATGTATGTATGTATGCATGTATGTATGTATGTGTATGTATGTGTGTATGTCTGTCTGTCTGTATGTCTGTCTGTGTGTCTGTCTGTATGTATGTGTCTGTCTGTCTATCCGTCCGTCTCTGTCTCTGTCTCTGTCTCTGTCTCTGTCTCTGTCTCTGTCTCTGTCTCTGTCTCTGTCTCTGTCTCTGTCTCTGTCTCTTTCTCTGTCTCTGTCTCTGTCTCTGTCTCTGTCTGTCTGCATGTATATATGTATGTTTGTTTGTTTGTATGTGTGTATATCTGTGTCTTTTTGGTGTGGCATGATATTTATCTATGTATGTATGTATGTATGTATGTATGTATGTATGTATGTATGTATGTATGTATGTATGTGTGTATGCATGCATGCATGCATGCAGGTATGCATGCATGGATGGATGGATGAACTACACATAGATGTGTGGACGTATGCTGCATGGATGGATGGATGGGTGGGTGGGCGGGCGGGCGGGCGGGCGCTCGGGTGGGTTGGTGGTGGGTATATAGGTGGGTGGATATTCTGCATGTCACGCATGGATGCATGTATGCATGTATGTACGTATGTCCATACATTGCATGTATATAGGATCTGCAACGCACTAGGTACAGCCAAGCATTCCTTGCCATCAGCCAGCTTGCCCATCCAACTTATCATCGGACCTGCCACTGCTATATCTGCTCTCTCCCTCACTCTCTACTCACCTTTCCTACCACAACACTGCATTTGTGGGAGGGCACCTGGAAGATGAAACGCACCTCTTCAAGGAAGTGTCTCCTCTCGAAGGGACCCTCTGGCCAGCCCAATCACGGGGCGTGCTGAGTGAAGGGACACGTGGGAGGGTTGCACCCCATCAGGTCAATGTGTTCATCCCATGTTACACAAGTGTCCATTTCACCTTTGTGCAAACACGCAAAGACAACATGAGCACAAACACTCACGAGCACAAACACTCACGCACACAACATATATAGTATATAGGTAGATACATATTACATGGACGTATCCACCCGCCCTTTCACCCCCCCCAAATTTGGCCTGCTTCCAAAAGTCGCAGCCCACTTCCAAATGGGCCACTGCGAATGGCACCTCCTTGTGTGCGAAGCCGATCGGCCCTGATTCACCGTACGCCCAACCTGAGCTTGGTCTCTTCCATTTTTGCCTAAGCCTCCTGGAACAGCAAAAATCCAGTAGTGAAGATTACCTGTAAAACCAACCCCAACCTCATTTTGGAGCCGGACCCCGCCTCCCCTTGCTTTTTTTAGGCGAAGCAACACACCCCTTCCAGCCGAAGCCGACACCGACTCGGCTCGCTCACTCCTCCGGGAGCTTCTTTGGCGCCCGCTGTAGCCAGAGCTTCTCTCCGAGCGCCTTGAGCTCCTTGGCGCCCAAAGATTTCGCCTCCAACGGCACCCGCTCCACCTGGGATCGATTGGACGCCGAGATCCGGAAGCATCCGGTGACGATTTTTTTCAATGATGGAAATGTCGTGTCCCATCAATAAGAGGGGGCAACTGTCGAAATTCGTGGCATGGTGTGTTAAGACCCCTGGACTCCATCCATAGCCAGCAGCATTCCCATGAGCTCTTGACCGAACATTTCTGATTTTATCTTCTTCTTCTTTTGCGAAGCGCATGCAAAGTTCTCCAGAGTGGAGTATTCAGGTGCCAACTATGGGCGTTCATTCCGAGTAGAGGACGGATGGACTGAGGAGTATGGGGCTGGCAACAAGGGTGAGAGAATTCATGTTTGAGGTAGGGTGGGGGATGGTATATTGGCCTCCTGGACGAAGGTCGTATCCTCGTTCAGGGAAACTGAGTGAGTCCTCTGGTTGAAATTCAGAGCTCGTAGCCATAGTGGCCATGGACCACAAGGACCCATAGACTCGCATGTCTGAAAACATCGGGGTTGCTCCAGTCTGGAGCCGACCGGCGCTTTGCCAAATCAATCAGCAGGGTTCCAAAACAAAGCAACGCAACTTGCCAAGGCGCTGAACCCCCCCCCCCCGTGCCAAGTTGTCTGACCCTTGTCGGGTAATTCAAAACGCGCAACGTCCAGAAGCTGAGCGCTGCGTCGGTCCGAATGACTCACCGGATCACTCAATCGGCAGGAGCGACGGTCGGTGTGTACAAAAACCAGGGGCGCAATCAGCACAAGGTGCTGACTCCGGCTTTCCCATTTTTTTGGGGGGGTCTTCTTTGGCACGGGGGAGACATGGGCCTGTCGACTCCCGCGCGCACCGCGCCTCGGGGCCGTCCGTGGCGCGCCGCCACACGGTGCCGGGGACCATCGTGGCCGTGCACCAGAAGGCGTGGGCCCGGCGCGATCTGTGCGAAAGGACGCACTCCCTTCAAATGGTTTCCAAAGTTCACTCCATGATCAACCCAAAAGGAAGCTATTTAGTAAACGGCCAAGAGATTTATTTTGTCTTCAAAACCTCTAGGGGTTGATTCCTGTCCATTCTTTTCAGCCATCCTTCTTTTCAAAAACCGATCGCCATGTCCAACCAGGGTGTTTGGTGGCTTTCTAGAAAGAAGGATCCCTGGAAAGAATGGTTGGAAGTTACCCCTAGAAATGTGGGTGGGTCAACCCAAAATGGGTTGGTACATGGAAGGACTGAAACCTGTGGTGTGATTTTAAGACCCATACCCATGGCTCTTTTTGGTTTTCGAGGGGCCGAAATCCATTCCCTGGTAACTGAAAACAACCCAGACGCTCATGGACCCTCCTAGAAAAGGTCCGACCAATCTCTTAGGGACAGGGCCCGGGCAGTAGTCGGGTGAGCCGTTGGGAAGGACCAAAGCCTGTGGTTTGATTTTGACCCATACTAGGTCGTCCAGTAGAGAGGCTAGAATGAGGGTACCTTTTTTTTCTGCAGGCTATTTGAGTAGGAGAATCCTCCCCCCAAAAACGAAACGGCAAAAGGGCACTACTGGGGCCTAAAGAAGGACACACCATCCCGCCTCAAGGAAAGAGTGTTTGTTTTTATTCTTCTTCTTTTTCTTTTTTTATCCACTTCCATTGATCGAGCAAATGGAACCGTAAATGGAGATCTCCGGTCGGAAATTCCCCCCCTCTCCCAATCCACCATGTTTAAGGGACAAGTTCCATGACTTCAAGGGCTGTCGGTTCAAACATCGTTTCGACCTTTAAATCTCACAGGAATTTGGCTTGGAACAACTTCCCCCAAATAGGTGAAAGCTATAGGGGTTCTAACTTCTAATATTGAAGGGAAAGTGATTTGCGAGATTGCCGGCTGGGTGCAGTTTGGTGCTGGTGTAGGTGCTGTTTGGGGTGCTGTTTGAGCTGGCTGGTGTAATTTTTAACCACGGACAATGGGCTGCCCGCCAAGAAGGGTCACAACCATGTCCAGGATGGAACCAGTTTTGCTTTACAGCTTCCCAAAAGCAAACTCACAGATCGAATTGGCCAACATGATGTCACTGTCGAACATCGCTGGAAGGGAACACTGCACATGGGAGCGCCTCCTTTGAGGAATTCCTGGGAGCGCCCCTAATTTTCGTCTGAACCCAACGGGTGCCCTTCAGGGCGACTTCCTCTGCGCCAGGCTGCCTAGAGTCTCCAAGGGGTCATGGACCAATTTTAAATAGGGGTCAGAAGGAGACTCCAGGTGCTGAAAGGACCGAGAGTACCAAGCTTCGGCCACTTCTCAAAATGGTTGGGACTCCTCTGGGGGGTTCTGGCTGGGCCTTCTCCCGCACCAGTACTCGGTGTACAACGAGTCCATCGTTCTTTGGAGGACATGCATATCGAAGATCTGACCTCAGCAAAAGACAAAATGTGCACAAGAAGTGGGCAACCAGTTGGCCAGAATCTTCAGGCCATGTCAAGTAGAAAACCAGCGAAAGGGTTTCGAAAGTGGACTGCAACTGGAATTCTAAGACCGAGATGACGGCTCGCCTCTTGAAAGTGGTGGTCGAAGTTGTGCTTCAAGCCTCCATGCTTCACAGAACCTCCCAAGCACGACCCAATGGATCTGACATCTGCTCCCGATCCCCATGAAAAAGCTCTTCCACACCTGGGATTTCTTGGATGAGCTTTCCACCTGGGCCTGCGGGCTGGACGATTGGTCCCTTAACTGCTGAGTTCCCAGGCTGGCTCATATGGGTATGAATTTTAAGGGACCCAAACTTTGTGGACATCATTTAGGTGATTCATGTCCACCAATCACTTTTCAGGTGGTTCCAACTCTTAAATTTCATGGCCATATTCTGGTTTTCCAGCAGCCAATACAGAAGCGAGACATCCCTAAGGCTGGCACTCAGAGAGGTTCTGCCATCTGCCATCGTCTCTGGGAGCACCACCTGCGGCGAACCGGCGCGACTTTTGTTTCAGCGTCTGCTTCAAAAAATCGGCTGAAATAGAAGATGGTTTTGGAGGACGGCGACGCCTTCAAGCAAGTGGATTCCTTCCTGGACTGCCCCACCCAAATTCATGCCCAGGATGCGGCTCTCTGTGCGGCCAAATTGGGCTGCTTTTCCTATAGACATGGAAACGGATTCCAAAAGCCCCCAACAAGTTTCTTGGCATTTTTTTGGGTCACCTTCAAAACTCCCAGTGGTTTTCTGAAAGCGTTCTGGGCGTCGATAGGTCCAGACATCGGCGGTAAGGGCCTAAGGGGCGGTTCGGCGCAGCTTTCAGAGGTTCACAAGGAGGGTTCTGAGGGGTTCCGAGGCTTATTCTTCAAACAAAAACTACGGCTCCTCCAACTTGGGTCAGACGCTTGGCCTAGAGTCTCCTTCTGGTCAGAAGGAGACTCCAGGTACCTTTGGATGATAGACTAGGTCCTCCAGTAGAGGGGTTAGAAAAAGGGTACCCTGTCTTCTGTAGTCTAATTTTAGTAGGGTTCAGCTCTCCCCCAAAAAGAAGCGGTGAACGTGCTGCCTAGCTGGGGGACTCTGATAGACGCGGCCTGGGCCCCCAGGAGGAGCGCCGCCAGCAGGGAGTTCAGCATCTGCAGCCGCTGCTGGGCCAAATTTCCGCAGAGATTCAGCGGCAGCTGCAGCGGCGCCAGCCTCGCAGCAGCGGATTTCTCGTCGACGGCGTGGGTCTGAACGCGCTCAAGAGCTGTTGAAGTACTGCCACTGGCTTTTTGGGGGTCGATAGGCCCAGAAATCGGCAAGATGGTTTGAAATTGATGGGGAAGGCCAGAAAAAGCGGGGGGGACGTAGCCTTCTCATGGACCCTCCTAGGAAAAGTCCGACCTCTCGGGACAGCCCAGGGCCCTCAAACAGCCCCCGTTTTGAAGGCCCGGGATACTGCTTGAGCTTATTTTCTGGATGAAACCAACAGAATTTGAGCTCCACATTTTGAGAAAACCCAGGAAGGGGAATCTCATTCTTGAGAACTTGCGTTGATCCAAGAAGTTATCTTTTCCAGTGGGATATGCGAGGCCTGCGAAAATGGTGCTTGGGAACCGAGGAACATGGAGGCATCCCGGTTGCGAAGTCCTGAAGCAGAAAACGAGTTGCGCACACGCGGCGAAAGTTCCCCAAGGCTCATTTGAGCCAGTCGAGTGTGGCCCTTCCCTCTTCATTCAGGCCCAAAAGCAGATCTAGACCTGGAGTCTCCTTCTGACCCGAATCAAAAAACATGGTCCATGCCCAACCATTATTTAGGGTAATGACCAACCATTTTCAACAGGGATCCTTACATGTTATAAACCTGAACATTGCCTGATAAATGGTGGTTTCCATTTATTTGGGTGGAACAAGCCATGTTTCGAATGGGCAACATGTATCTTTTAAGGAGCCCTGTTCAAAGGGTCATGGAGACTCTAGGAAGAAACATTGTGTGCCTAGTATGGAGAAAAGGGAGTACCAAGACCAAGCACCGGACGAGTTCTGTTGCGGGGAACCGATGTTTCTTCCTAGAGTCTCCATGACCCTTTAAAAATGGGGTCATTACCGTAAATACTGGGGTCATGGACCTATTTTTACAGGGTCATGGAGACTGCAGGTACTGTAGTGTGGAGAAAAGGGAGCACCAAGCACCGGACGAGTTCTGTTGCGAACCGACTGGACGTTTTTGGTTGGGGCAATGTTGCCTCTGACTGCAAAAAAACTGGCCCGAATCTGCGTGAGCTGATTCTGCGTCTGGCCGGCCGAACGGCACGCTGAAGCCGTGTTCATATTGGGTCAAAACCCGAATCGGTTATCCCCCAGTGAACATCCCAATCCAACCACTCAAATTCACTGGGGCACCTACCCCAAAATGGGATCCCATTGGTTTTGAACCATGGCCATATCCGAAAAACACAGGCCCAATCAGGTGGTCGGCGGGTCTTGGGAGGGGCTGCTTTCCAGAGTTTGCTTTGCGAGTGGTTGGCAACCCTGCCTAAGCGGGTTGAAACCAGGGCAGGGCCTACTACATGTCAACTTCGGATTAATCCGGCGGACCATATCAGCAGCGATTCTGGAGTTGATCCATCTGAAGTTTGGGTTCGCATGGCCTTTAATCCAATATTTACCTACCTAGAGTCTCCATGACCCTTTTAAAATGGGGTCATTACTTTATGACATGGGGTCATGGACCTTTTTTTGATTCGGGTCAGAAGGAGACACCAGGTAGCTATCACCAGCTCCTTTAGGAGTCAAATGAGCTCCCCATGATGAAAGGCCCTTGCTCGGGAATTTGGGTATTTCCCACTGTGGATCGGCGTTCTTGTGCTGGAAAAACGACTCCTATCATGCCTTCATGGGAGCATTCTCTGCGCACTTTCACCTCACGGCCCTCCGTGTCCAACCTTGCGGCGCTTCCCTCTGAATACCTGTTGCCTGTGCTTTTCTTCATACCAATAATTGCAATGATTTCGTTCTTTACTGGGCTGCCCTCAGATCCCCCGCTAAAAGTGAATAACTTTTAGTGGTTTAAATGGAAACTACCACTAAACACTAGCATAATAAAAAGCTATGGGAATGGCTGGGAGCCACCAAGTTTACATTCTTCACACATGCGCGTTTGAGAGCGGGCGAGACGAAGCTCGATCAGCGCACTTGATGGAATCCCCGGTTGGGCCACGGCCAAGCCCTGCCTTTGACATCGGCCCACGAGTTTCGGGGCCTTTGGCGGCTTGCTTTTTGCACAGCTTCGAGAATGGCAGGCTTGAGGCTGCCATGGCTTATGTCATCTTGCGGCCAGAGAGTCTTTCTTGTGTACCTAGAGTCTCCATGACATTATGTTAAAAATGGTTGGTCATTACCCTAAATCATGTTTCGTCATGGACCTATTTTTCGATTCGGGTCAGAAGGAGATTCTAGGCATGGCCTCAGTTTAGAGCAGCGCCCGTGCGAGCTGCGGGCTGTGGGTGCCAGAGTGAGTTTCACTGACTGCCTGGAGTCTCCTTCTTTCCCAAATCCAAAATAGGTCCATGACGAAACATTATTTAGGGTAATGACCAACCATTTTTAAAGGGTCATGGAGACTCTAGGTGGTTGCTTGGGTGAAGCTGGGCTTGAGTGGACCGCTGGAATGCTTGGCGTGCCTCCTGCGGCAGCGTTGGCGTCTGTGTGGCTTAGCGTTGCGGTCTATGATTGTGTTGGCCAGGGCTCTCCGCAGGAGTGCCTTGCGATCTGACCCAGATGTTCACACAGCGCTGTCAGTATGGCATGAGCAAGACAACTGGGCAACAGGCGGAAAAAATGCAAATGCTGGAAGAACAGACCCCCTTCCCTAGCCAACAGCCGTGTCGCGCGGCTGGCCGGGGGTGCCAAGCGTCGCATGCCAGCGTCGCATGCCGAAGCTTGGGGGAGTTTCGACGACCCGCGAACAGCGGCCATCCGCCGACATCCGGATCCCATTTTGAGCGCCCGCCCAGAACCAAAACCTTGAGGCCGTTCCCCCGAAGGCAGGTTTGGGGAAGGGATCAGTGGTACGCCATGAAGCCCCCCCCACTTTCAACGGGGCAAACCACGGCCGGCCCAAGATGTGTTCTTGATCCATGAAAAGCAACTGTCGCTCTTGCTTTCGATTCTTTCTTGGAAGGGGTCCATGTTTTGAAGCCAGTGCCACCCCCATCCAGCTGGAATCCGTCGAGCAGCCGCTGCTCCAACTCCAGGTCAGCATATGCCTGCCCCGCCAAGGACAGTTTCCGCGCCACCACCGGGGCGCTGGGCTCCTGTCTCCAGCGCCTCGGACTCTTTCCATCGCCAGCGAACATAGCGGAAATTTGGTGGAATGAACCGGTTTTGGGGATTCTAATTGAAAACCATAGGATGGATGGCGTTTTTTTTTCTCGGGGTCATGGACAAAATATATTTCCTTGCTTTGTACCCAGACTCAATCAAGCAATACCAAGCCACTATCTCGCTGTTTCAGTGGAATACATGCAGTCTCCATGGCAGTCTCCAGCCTTTGTGTTCATGTTTGCCAAAAGCAAGTGTTCGAGGGTGGGCCTTTTACCTGCCAGCCACCCCCCCCCTCGGTTTGGGTGGTTGTTTGAAGTGATCAAAACCCGGCAGTGAAGGAGTCTACACACCATGTAGAGACTCCAAGGGGCGGATATCCGCACTTATATGCATATACGTACATACATGCATACCTACATATATATACAAATATATAGATAATTGGTACCCCCCCCCTATCATGGACCCGGGTTTGCTGAGTTTGAACTGTGTGTTTCCACTGTTTTATGCTCTTTTTTTTTGACTTGTTGACTTTGTTGCCTTTTTTTTTTGGGGGGGGGGGGGGCATATGTATATATATATATAAAGACACATATGCAATGTAAGCAATGATGTCAACATCTGCCATCTGACAAAGTCTGCATGCATCTAAGAGTCTTGGGACAACACTGGATGTTTTTTTGTGGGATTCAGGATTCAAGAATCTGAGACAATTATTCTTGGGAATCTTGAATACCAGATCTTCTTGTTTAAAGACGCACTTTTCTCCAATACTCCAGATTTCCAATATATAAATTCTGCAAACAAGTATGCGCACCACCCGTCTGCAGTCACATGTATTTAATCTGCAACCCAAGTTCCCGCAAAGGCTAAATTCAAAGTGCGAGGACAAAATTATCGGAAAAAGGCTTGAATGATTTCAATTTTTAATCCTCAATCCAGAATTAAAATACGTTTGAGGTTTTATAGAGCAACTTAAAAGTTTGTTTGCGTTCGCCAGGGCTGGCGGTTTTCAGGAAAGTTCTCTGCGCAATCTTCAATCTTGAATGTTCAATCCAGTGGGAAAGCACTTTCAAGTGTTTAGAAGAACTTGAATGTTGTTTGGGTTTGGCCAGGATTGACGATTCTCAGAAAAAGTGTTCTGTGTAATATTCAACCTTGAATCTTCAATCCAGGAATAAACTATGTTCAAGTGCTTAGCGATCCAGTGAAACAACTTGCAAGTTCTTAGACACGCTTTCAAGTGCTTTTGTTCAGCATTTTGCTTCATGTAAGCTATGCTCATGTTGACCCCTTTTTCCAGGAGGTAAACAAAGGTAGGAGTAATGCTCAAAAAACCTGTGTGTAACAGTACTGTATGAAGAGACGCAGGAACATGAGGGATACTGCATGTGTGTATGTATGTGTGTATATATATATATATATATGCACACACACCCCACACACACACACACACATCCGAACTATCTGTCCACATCTGCTCATCTACTACCTCCGCCTTTTGAGATAGAATGAATTATGATTTCTTGTCAAAATAAGACTTTAAATACAACTGATTTACCTGGAATCCCTGTTTAGAGATAGTTTTACCCTCTAATCCTCTGAAATTTCGATTTTGGAAGACCGTTTATTTAAATTATGTTCGCATTAGACTAAATTTGAAAATAAGCTATATTTGGGAATCAATTCCAATTTAAAACGTGTTCTTCAAGGTTAGTTGAATGTTACCAGACATATTATTTAATGATAGTTCAACTCTTATTTGAAAATACATACATATACATGTATATTTTTGTATTAAATGAGCACAAAACAAATTTGGAAAACATGTGCTTGTTAAATGCTATTCACAATTCCAAATCTAGTGGAATTAAAATCCTATTTGGAAAGGATATGAATTGGGACATTTTAAAGGACTCCGGGCTCCAAATTATGAGGCTGTGCGGGGCCCAAAACTGGAAATTTCGAGGATTAAGATCTCTAGACTCTAGGTTTATCATCCGCAAAAGGCACTAAAACCAGGGTCCATGAGGGGGGGGAGGGGTGCATGTATATATGTATGTATATTATCTAGGTTCTCCAGTAGAGAGGTTAGAATAAGGGTAAACCCTGTTTTTTTTTTTCTGTCGTCTATTTTACAAGGGGAACCCTCCCCCCAACAAAGGGGTGAGAAAGGGTACCAATTGCTGGGGACCTAGCTCTGGTTGGGACTATCCCTTCCAGCCGAGTTTTGAGCGCCCAATGAGTTTGGACTCATGAGGTCGAGGCCTTCTCCCAAAGCCAAGTGGAACCAGAGGTGTCTATGTGCCTATGAGAAAATGGGCGACCCCCTCAAGAAGGAATCCCAGAGGCTCCCTTGGTACCTCATGCGCATGGCTGAAACGGGGGGTAAAAAGGGGTCGTTCAGTACCTCCTTAGAAGGTACTTGGACCCTCTGAGAATCCTCCACTGCGCGGGGGTCCATCATTTTTTCTGGAAAAGGTGTCAAACAGATTCTCCTGACTCGGTTGCTTTCTGCTCCTCTGCTAAAAGCTTAACTGTTAGTGGTCTAATGGAAAACCCACTAGGTGGCAAAAAGTTAAAGTCCCAACATCCAAGCAACATGCAACAAAGCTGAGTAGCACCGCCTACCATGCAAATCCGCTTGGGTCGAAGCACAGGCCGACGCTGGCCCAAGCCAGCGCCGCCAGACATGAAGCGGCGGCCAGCAGCCGCCATGGCACCATGGCGGGTGCCAGGTGGCTGTGGGTCAAACTTAGACCACCTAAAAACAACAGGGATCCTTACATTATACACCTGAACATTGCCTTATAAATAGTGTTGGCCTTTTTTTTGGTGGAAAAAGCCATGTTTCAAATAGGCAAAATGTATCTTTTAAGGAGCCGCCCAAAAAAACCGATGGTTTTAGTCCCCATTTTGGGTACCTCTTTTGACCCACAGCCAGGTCTCCGTCGGAAAGAGGGGTAAGGCACTAAGTTTAGGGCTCCTTTCTCCCTGGTAAAGGGGGACCCCAACATCCAAAGAGGGGTCCCTCCAAGAAGTTGGGAAGCCTCGAACTTGCGACATGTCGCGGGGATTGAATGGGGTAAGTGGCTTCTGCAAATCAGCAACGGTGTTGCTAGGCTTAGCAAGGTCTTGAAGAAAGCAATGGCCATCAAAAAAACTCCCTAACAAGAAACTAGACCCAATAAGAACCCTAACAAGAACCTAGATCTAAGAATACTTGGACAAGAACCCCAGAAAAACCGCCCTACGCAGCGAATGCAAAAACCCAGCTCGGCCAGCCCAGCGCTGGGAATGCATTTCCTACCAATGGCTGAGCAACTTCCCCGACCAAGCCTCCAACGAGATCAAAGGAGAATGGGGTGTGTGAATTGTTTTTTCCCGGACTTTTTTCCCAAAATGGTGGTGGTGTACCCACAAGGAACCCCTTCCCAAAAGGGTGGTCTTCCCTTTTTTGGTTCCCTTTAAAAACCACCCAGGAAGGGCACCAACTCCCATACCCAACTCGTAGGGGCTATGGGAACGCCTTTTGGCACCGGGTCGGCCCGCTCGGTCGAGCCATGACAAAGTTGCAGCGAGTCAGAATGAATCGGGTGTCTCACTTTAGCGGGAATCCATCACTTTGGGGGGGCAAAAAACTCACTGCCAGGTTTACCAGTAAAAGTAGTTCGACCTTACGGGAACAACACGGGCCAACTCAACCTCGGGTACCAAGTCCACAGATGTTTTATAGCATCTCAAATAGGCATCCCTCAAAACCGGCAAGGCCCTTTTGATTTCTTCCAAGATAGCCTCACAAAACTGGGTCCGCTTTTGGTCTGGCTTTTGAATGAAACACCAGAAGGAAACAATCCTGTTTGAGACAAAGGTCCGCTTAGGCCCCGGTTGAGGGCATTCAACTGCAATTGTAACACGTTTTTGGTGGACTTGCCTTGGGGGTTGGACTAGGTTTTCCAGTAGAGAGGTTCGGACCTAAAGGTTACCCTTTCTTCTGTAGTTTATTTTAGTAGGGGAACCCTCCCCAAAAAAACAAATGGTAGAAGGGCGGAACTACTAGGGGACGTAGTGGAACTTCATTCGAAGGCAATGGACCTGGCTTCGGAAAAGACGTCTGAAAGCCTTCAGGGGAACCGATTCGAGTGGCTTCTGCGGCTTCTCCAGGCCTCCAATTTCTACCGACGGTCGGACTGTTGCCTATCATTCGCCTCAGAGCTTGATTCACAGACCAAGGGAGTCATCCAATGAGCCTCTTAAAAGATACCCTATTTGTTGTCTTTTGCCACAAGCCGTTTCCGCTTGTGTGTAAAATGGCTCGTTCTTAGTCTTAGAAATCACGACATACTGTGGACGACATCCGCGTCGCACCAGTTGGGATGGAGGACGCCCAAGAGAAATATGGAAAAATACTGCCCAAAGGCTCGCGACCACAGCCCGGGCCTTCAAAATGGTGTTGTTTGAAGAGCCCCTGGTATCTGAAGACAAAACCAAATGGAGACCAAGGTTCTCATAGGGCGAGAGCTGCTGCTCCCTCGGCCAGGCCTCCCAGGTGCCCGAAGGCCCCGCCCACGCCCTCAGCAGCAACAGTAACCTCTCTCTCCTCCGCAGCCACGGCTGCCGTCTTCTCGACGGCTGTCCTGGGGGAGCTGGGAGCGGAAGGCCTGCACGGCTGCGACCTGCTGCTCCTGCGCCCACCAGGTCCGCTGCTGCCTGCGCGCCGTCGGCCGTGCTGCGCAGACGGTCCGTGATGGAGGGCGGACCCTGGCCGTTGCTTGCCAGGGCGCCGGCCCGCCAGGTCGTCTTCGACGATGCGGTTTCCCCCGCTCCGGTAGATCCGGGCCAGCCGCACGTCCTCGTCCGTTGCCTCTGCGGGAGTGCGGAAGCCGTCCTCGGCAATTGCCTGCAGGGGCGTGTGCTGCAGAAGCCAAGGGTTCGGGTCCTCACTGGACTGCACGAAGTCGTTCAGGTAGAAGTGGCTCGTGACGAACGAGGTGGCCTTGCAGTCCGGCTGGTCCAGGGGCAGGGGCTCCCCCCGGTCGATGTAGCCCACCACCTGCTCGAAGCGTGGGCGCTGGTTGAACCCGTGGGAACAAAGCGTCTTCATCTCTTTACCGGTTACTGTGCAACTTCGCCCCCGCCCGTTCGACGCCCCGGCGCTCGGCGCGCGCGTAGCGCAGCTGGGGGACCTGTCGGTGCAGCCACATCTTTGACCAAAGTCCCGCAGTTGGCTGTTGAGGTGGAAGGCTTTTTTTTCCGCTGGATCAAACTGCAGGCAACAAGAAGCAGCAAAAAGAACATCAGTGGAATGTGGTAACACACGCACACACATATCAAGCAAAGTCCCGCACGCACCATGCAAGCACAGGAGCCCAAATCCCAGATTCCTCGCGCGCTGCGTGCGGGTTTTGTTTCTCTGAAGCGCGAAGGGTCTATTTTGCCAGGCTGATCTGAGCGGGATCCGACCAAGTCGGTCCCAGGACGGCATGGAGGACACAAACTCAAGTCCCACAAGATACACCTCACGTTTTTGCGCAGCGGAAAAGTGGGGCTTTCACCCATCCCCACGCCAACCATAATCCCATTTTATGTGGAGATTCGAAGCCCGTCGCTTTTCGAGCATCCCTCCGTCATCCCAACAATATGGAGGGTTGCGCGACATCCTGCTAAGACACCTGGAATTGTTCTTGAGTCCCCCTACCAAAAACACGAAGGAAACCCCATGGTGTCAAGACACCCACCAGAAACCCAGAAAAATAATCAACCATCGCCTTTGACTTGGAGAATTTGGTGGAAGCCTTCATTTCAGCCATGGTACATGACAGCGTCGTTTGGTGGCTGAAGGCAACATGACAGCGTCGTTTGGTGGCTGAAGGCAACATGACAGCGTCGTTTGGTGGCTGAAGGCAACAGAAACTGCAAACTTTGGAGCTTGTCCAAACGAACTCTTTGGAGGTATACTCTACATTTGGAAACCAAGTGCACCAAGCCCAAACGTCTGGGAAGAAGTGTGTCCTCTCTGCCCTTCGCCTTGCCACTCGCTGGCCCCGGATTCGCGTGGCGTGGCGGCAGGTCCCGAATCTTCCACGAAGCCATCCCGCAAACTTTGCCCATCATGGACATGACTCATACCCTCAGACAAAGCTCGCGAAAGCGCAATGCAAATATCAAGGCGGCGATGTCTTTCCCGCAAACATCAATGAAGAAAACACACTTAACATCGTTTCAAGCAGCAATAAAATCATTGAACACACACACTTAAACTCCAAATGGAGAGTGCTAATCTTTCGAGTACAACTGATGAGTCTCGAGTACAACTGATGAGTCTCGAGTACAACTGATGAGTTTCGAGTAGGATCGACTTGCAGTCCCGTGGCTTCCGTCTAGCAGCGAACACGTTACCCGAAAGAACAAGAAGCACAAACAGCGCCGCAACCGAGGGGCCAAATGGACATTCAGAATCACGGAATGCAGGTACGCCGAAGTGGCCAACTCCGGTATCCCGTCTTGCTGCCTAGCTTTGTTAGACCAGGTCAGCAGCAAGACGCCTGGTCCCCCTGCCTCCAAAACGATCCGAGGTGGTGACAGGGTATTCTGTCACTCCGCACACACACGCCCCTCAATGAGGGGCGAAGAGGCTTCATTTCTTTTCGGCGGGAAGATCACATGCTCCACTTCGTGTTCCTATCGTTGACCAAAATATCCACCGCGGCGAGGGGAACGCGAAACAGCCCTAAACCGCTCAGAAGACGGGAACGAGAGATCACACACACACACACCAGGTTGAATCCACACACACACACACACGTGTATACAGGTATGCATATGTGTATATATATATACATATATACATATATGCATATGTACGTAGGTTCGTAGGAATGTAGGTAGGTATGCCCCTCCCCCCTTCCAATTGTTCTCGTCAAATGCAAATCAACCACACGTGTAGTTCTCTGAAAAACCTAACCCTGGAGTTCAAGCCACCATTAAAACCATGGGGGCTACATGTAGCCACCGTTGTTTGGCTAAGGATTACCTGCATGAACCATTCTTTTAATCTTGGTTGCTGTTGACCCCCCTGCAAACAGTGTTTAACTTTTCGGGGGTTTAGTGGAAAACCCAACTTGATTTCAACCAAAAAGTGAAAGTCTAAAGATCCGTCAAGTAATGGGGTTGGTCGTAACTTGCTGGCGCTCAGCACAAAATGTGTGGCAATGAACCCAGGGCTCTTGAAAGAAACCAGAGAGGATGGATGGTTTGTTTATCTGGGGTAATGTCGACCCCATATTCGGGTGTGGCTCAGAATCAAGCAGGGGCAAACCGCAGGTTTTGGTCCATGTTTCCACTTACCAGGGTTCCATTTGGTACCGGTTTTGCGAGCCTAAGCCATTCAATCCCAGCTTGGTTGAGCCTGCCATGGAAAAGTGCTCCCCACTTGCCCGAGAAGAACTCGAGCGGCCTGGCGGCCTCAAAACGCCCCTCGAGACCTTTACGGCGTGTAGCCGAAAGCGTGGTCAGTGGTCTTGGTCGTGGACATCTGAATACATATATATATACATATCTACATATCTGTACATATACACATGCTTGCTTGTATACAAATTCGCTTGTATACATATAATATATGTGTTGGCATACATGTGTGGCACTCATGGCTCATGGTCAAGCTTCAGCGTATAATCAGGGACCGAGGCAGGGGTGTTCGAAGATGGACTGGGGCAAAACTAGCAAAGCAGAGAACTTCCGCCAGTTGATTTTTAGCGATTTTTAGT